TATATATATATATATATATATATATATATATATATATATATATATATATATATATATATATATATATATATATATATATATATATATATATATATATATATATATATATATATATATATATATATATATATATGGGAAAGTATTACTATTATTGCTAAAAGAAGATTTTTTGTTGTTAGAAATTTTATTGTAATTAAAAGTTGAATATTAAAGTTATCTAAAGTTTGGCTACGGAAAGGCCATTTGGGTCTAATTATATTAAAGACTTTTTTGTTGTAATGAAAAAATATGCTACTGGGCTGAATTAATAGTTAACGCGCAGGCCCAAGGTGATAATAAATACATATTATATCAATTGAAGCGGAATCAACGCATGTTTTTGCAGGAAACAACTACTGTTGAAATCAAATTTAAAAAACTGTAAAATCTTGTAATCATTACCAATTCAATATTACAGCAAATCAAATCTCAGTTAAAACCAAAACTAAAACTAAATCAAATCCAGAAAAACTAAACTGAAACAAAATCAAATTTTCGTCTAGAGGCAATAGAATCTCGTTTTACAGTCCAAGCCCAGAATTTTTCTGTTACGAATCTAAAAATCATACAAATCTGAATCGTATTACAAGCTAAAACAAATCTTTGTTAACAGAAAATCTATATTACAATCAAATCTGGAATTTACAGTGAAACCAAATCATATAAACAGAATCAATTACAAATCGCAAATAAATTTTGAATCCCTAATTCTAAGGCCACAATTCGTAAAACCCTAAAACTAAAAGCCTATAAATAGTGTAGAAGAAGAACATATTCGAGGTAGGGAAAAGGGAGAAACCGAAGAATTTAAGAGGAACTCGCCAACGACCCCTTGTTTTTGAAGATCCAACGCAAAGGACGGTTAGGAATTCAACATCTGAAACCCTAACCGTGTGAACATCGTCGCCGTCGCGCCTTCAACACCACCGGAAACCACCTTCAGGACCTGCAAACGAGAAGAAGAGGGAGAGATTAGAGTTGGAATTCAGAAGCGCAAAGTTAGAATCAGAAATCGCGAAAAGGGTAAGGTAACAAACGTAGCTTTTTATCATTGATTGGGGTTTTGTGGATAGATTTATGGTGGGAAAGGGAAGGAATTCTTGAGCCGCCGCGGAGTTGGTGGTGTTAGGGTTAGAAATGGGGAAGGAGAAGACAAGCGAGAGAAAAAGAGAAATGATTGACTGTAACTAAAACAAGAAAAATGAAATCTTAATTGAAATGTTGTAACCGTTCCAGTCCCATATATGTGTGCGTATATTAGTTACTATATACCTTCAATTTCATCCATCAAATTACCATCAGACGGTCGCTAGGCCAAGTCTGCGTTAATTAGCATACTCCCTCGCCACACTTGATTATTCAGATCCCTCTCCAACTACGTAGTGGGCCTAGGCCTAGTAATTTCTACACCTCCCATTCGCCTGAATTGTTAAACCCAAAACAACAACACATCCCCCTGCGCGTTGGGCCAAGTCAAGTTGTTTTCCACACCCCCTATTTTTACTTAATAACTAGGATTGCACCCCCTGCCTAATTAATCATTTTTTACGTTCTTTATAATTATTATATTTTAATTTTATTTTCTTATTATTATTATTTCTTTTGTATTATATTATTATTTTCTTTCATATTCTTATTATTATTATATATTATCATTATTTATTATATCATGTAAATAAATTATGTTTATTTAAACTCATTAACATATATTTTTTATATTTGCATTAAAGTATTTTCTTACGCATGCATTAATCAAGATATTTTCACAATTAATATGATTAAAAAATATGCAACAAATCTTAAATTATTTTTCGCAATCAACTAGGCTAATCAACTGGTTTTGCAAAAGGGTTTCAAACAAATTTTGGCTTATCGCGCATTTAATCAAAATCTCCACAATCACTACTCCCGACCAAAATACGAGGTGATTCAAAGTACCTTTGCGACCCCTAAAAAAGACCAACTCATACGAACTACGAATTGGGACTCTGACTCCTCATAAGAGGATACGTAGGGAGTTCCCCTATAAAAATATTTAAACCCTTCTCCCTAATTAAAATTTAAAACCCTATTTTACCCGAACCTAAACCTAAAACCTAGTATCCTTGTGAAGAAGGTAGATGAAATGTGCCTAACACCTTTCTTTCGTCTAATGAAGTCTGAAACCTAGAATCTATGTCTGCGATTTAGAGTTTCCTATTAGATGCCCTTCCCTAAGATTAAAATTGATAATGACGACTCTTGATTTAAAAACCAGTTGCTACACGAACTACGAGGTTTTGATCCTTCATTGGTACGTAAGTATAAGACTTTATGTCTTTCCAAACAAAAATGTCATAAAACATTATCTTCTTATCTCCTCACTCTTTTTGCAAATAAACCAATTTTAACAAAAAAAACAGATATTACCAAAGGTTCATATAGAGTACTATTGATACATAGGGTGTTAATACCTTCCTTTTGTATAACCAACATCCGTACCTTAGATCTATCACTTACTTTGCTTTTAGTTTTGCATCTTACATTACATGTTTAATATAGAATTTTGATCTTTTCTCTTTTCTTTGAAAATAATAAAATTCGGTGGTGACTTCTTAATTTGTGGGTCACGTTAGTCAATAGTTTGACCTCTGATTTTTCACTACGACAATGTTTTTCAATCATGTAGAGTGGGATAAGAAATTCCCTAAAAAAATAGTGGATTTGGCCTCCTTGATACATTGTTCAATTTTAATTCGAAGTAAAAAAATTTTAACAAAAATCCTACGGACAAATCCTGCCCCAACCCGCCCCGTTTTAAAGCGAATTTGGCGGGGCAGACCAACTTAAGACATCGAGTCGAAAACCTAGTTCTGACCTGCCAAAAATGGTGTCAAATGAATCAACCAGCAGGTCCGACCCGTTTTGCCACTCCTAACCAGGAGATACTTGAGACTCAAGATGACCACACCGAGAGTGTGACGGCAATCTATCAGCATGTTGTGGTGATGCGTAGAGCAGACATAGAGTCAAAACTCTTTGAAGATGACAGTCCCCAATTAACCCTTGAGGAAAACATGGTTATCGAGTTCTGGAATTTCGTGTTGTATAGTCGAAAGAGGAGAAGGCAATGGATTTGACATACCCAATTGTTTATTTTAATGTATTACTTTTTTTGTATTTTCTAACAAATATTATATATGATCTTGCATTTTTGAATTAATGTATGACTTTTGTACTTTCATTTAATTTTTATTAAACTTGATTTCATTGCGATTTTACTTTAATATAACAGCCTCAAAATTTTAACCTTGAAACAATAGTGTTGTTCTAAAATCATTCAGAAAGGTTTCCAAAGATGCATCTTCGAAGTAATTCACCTTTGCTATTAACAGCTTCCAATACCTTTAAAAAGACTTTAGAGGACATTTCAAAGATGCATCTCCAAACTATATTTTATTTAAAATAGTGTGAATTTCATAATAACGCATTTTAGTGTAATTTAAATGTGTTCGAAGATGCATCTTCGAATGTGTGAGAAATTTTCAAAGGTCTTAGATGCACATATAAGGATGCAATAAGCATTTCCCCCATTAGTTTTTGAAGTTACATGGACTAAATCCAAATTAAAAAAACTGACATTAACTAAAATATAAAAATGCTATAATTGCAAGAATTAAAATTATATTTAAAACCAAGAAAATCAAATTTAATTATAAAGATACTTATATTTCTTTATTACTCTCTCATTTCTTTTTAAGTGTCATTCTAACATAAAACTCTTCAACCAAGACAGTGGATTGTTATAGTTATTTTTTCTCGTTTATTTTTTATTTCTAAATAAATTTACATTTATTTTCTCTTTCCAAATAAAAAAATTTCTTAATAAACTACTAATATATTAAATAAAAAGAAAAGAGAACAACATATTGAAGGGGCCAAACCTGACTGAGTTAAGCCAAAGCAAAAGTAATAGACATTTTAAGCAGAATAAAACTATTACAACAATGGTCTACCAAAAGTAAAAATATCCACAACACAAACACTATCTAACGAACCTGATTACAAGAACAAAGCTAGATAGCAAAAGAAAAGAAAAGGTGTTGTGTAGATCTTCACAACCATTAAAAATGGTGAATGCATCGGCCGCCAACACAAACCAATTCACGAATCAACAATTCCTTAGAAAAAACACAGCAAACAAAAAGCTTTTTCAAACTAAACAAACCTATATCACAGAGAACCATAACTAAGTACAGCAAGGTTGTGTCAAGGTTGTGAAACACAAAATCGTTGTTGTTGTAGCAATCCAAACACTTTGATAACTGCAGATTTCAACAAATCTGAGCCAAATCAGAAATCAAAAGCAAGACAAACCTCCCCCAACAACGAAATCAGAACTGAAATTGATGAAAGATTCCAAACCAGAAGGATAACAACAACAGATTTGAAAGAATAAAATTCCAGATCCAGAGTTTCCAACTCATAAACAGAGATCTACAAGCAAGCAAGTTCTAACAACTCCAAAATCCAAACCCATGAAACAGACGACCATATTCCGGCGAAACGGCGGTGACTGGACAGAGCCGGAGAGGAGACAGAAAACATTGTTGCGCGGGTGACAACCTCAAAAGAGGTTAGGGGTGGAGCGGCCAAAAGGGACAACACACCACCCAAACCGGAACCTACATGGTTGGCCGGAAAATTTTGGATTTGGGGGAGAAAGGGATGAGTTGTTTTAGAGAGAAGGCAGAGAGATTAGTTTTTAGAGAGAGTAAGGGTATAATTGAGAAATTATAACATTAAACTATAAAAACGACACTTAATAGAAACAAAAAATTATTTTAAAACGATACTTAAGAAGGAACAGAGGGAGTAGTAACCAACCGTCCTGTGAATTCATAGCTATTAGAGAAATAGTAAGTTTTCTGTTCCACTGCATTAAAAATAGATAAATCCATAACAAGATTAGCTAGTGCAAACTAAAATCTATCAGCCGTCATCACAATAGGTTGAGCTTCACCACCACGCTTTCTATGAAGATACGGACCCATTCCTACAGCTTCCTGCAGCTGCGCACAAGATACACAAACACAATGAGAAAGTTTGGCGATGACACTGTTTTCTTGATTTGTTTATCATATAAGAGATACTCAAACACAAGCAAAGCATAATGAGAAAGTTTGGCATCTAACTTTTGCTGCTATTCCTGCAAAAGTAGGATCAGCAGAAACTCCACTAGACTGCGTCAATGATTTGTGTATCCGCTTGCAACAGTTATATCTAGCTTCCATTCCTGAAATGCTCCAATTTGTGTTAACATGCTTATCAGAGAAAATAAAGTAGGATCAAACACTTTATATTCCGTCAGTGAACATTTAGTATAAAACATATGGTGCATTTTCACAGTAATGCAAATCAAAATACAGACCTATCTTTGTTGTTTCGGTACTTGGGTCGGTCACAATATTTATAATCTCTTGCCTTGAGCATATTTCCATCAAGCACTGTGGTCGAGAAACCAATCCACTTATCATTCTATAACCCTGAAAAATGTTGCACAGAAAATCACATCAGACTTCTTTCAATGAATTTAAGGACAGTATTAAAAATGGTTTGACTAGTGTGTGCCATCCCTGAGGTCAAGGTTATTGATTACTGAATTGTCTTTACTACGGTCTGATATTTAGGTAGGAAAGCTAGCACACATAAATTAACTTGTAAAGTCGATATAATTAAAAGTGCAATGTAGTGCTGTAGAGCTCTATAAAGTTTCCATTATGGTGATGTCTAAGAAAGAATCAGTGCAATTCTTTTGTAGGCAGTCTTGTATTTGCAAGAGGAAGATTCTAAGGCTCGACTTACAATACAACCTACTAGTCATATAATGTTTCCTCAAAGCTCCCCTTCTTAAATTTGACTATTTGGATCGAAATATCCAAATGCTACAATATAGTTTTGAGATTTTTAGTGTGACCTGGTGGCATTTCCATCCTGCAAAATTACCTAAGCCAATTGACTTTTAAAGCTGTATAATGTTCAGGTGGTAGCTTAAATGTAATAGTTCAAGCATGATTTGCTAAAACGTGATATTCAAAATTCATTTAAAAGTCTCACCGCTATACGAATTTCTGAATCTTGCTGCAAAACTGACAGAAAAAGACCCTGCAAATTGCATGAATATTGTTAGGTTCCTGTGTTTTAAAAGTGGGACATAAAGCTTTCATGCAAGACAACTCAACAAACTTCCCTTGACGACCTTAGGTTCTAATAGCATCAAATTTTCAAAATGTACAAGATAAATTGCATTCACAACTATAATATACAAGTAACAAATCAATAAAATCTTGTAGTGGCAGGACTGCTATTTAATCCGGGTCATTGGCTGGGGTAAAATTCTATAAATAGATTGTTTGTCAAGTACTTATTACCAAGCTGCACTTTCCGTAGAAAAGTTGGGAGATATTGCAGATTGCTAATTTGAAAAACTGGCCTTCTGATTTATTCTTATTTAAAATTTAAAAAAAAAATCTATTTATTTGTTTCTTCTTTTAGCCTTTAATGTAATTCTTCTTGTTCCTACTTAAAAGTGGGACTGTGGGAGGCTATCCTCAACTTACAAATTACAAGCCGGTCATTTTTATAGATGAGTTATGCCAAACTACAATTCTATGATGGTTATCAAAGTCTCATCCAATATCCGTTGGACTGCCAACTATCAAGTTTTCGCTATCGGGTCATCCACTATTTATATCCACGCACCAAGCCCAATAGTGATGGACATAAGGATGAGTGTTAAGAGTCTCACATCAGATACAACATATGATTTGAACATTATTTATAAGTGGGAACAATCCTCACCTTAGAAATCGGTTTTGTAAGGATGAGTTAGGTCCAACTACACTTCTAAGTCTTCTAATAAAGAACGGTGTATGTTGTTGAATGAGATAAGAAAGTAATTTTGCTATTCACTTCCGACACATTTCGGTGTGGCTATCACTTACACCCTCCGGACACATTTATAAGCAACAAAAATGCTACAATTTTTGGTCACTATTATAAGCAAAAGTCAATTATTACTAAATCATTTAATGTTGTAATTCCTAATATACCCCTCTATTTCATTTTCCAACATTCCATTAAATTTAATAAAGAAGACATTATAGTAAATTTAATTAATGTTTTCACCAAAATCTAAAAAGCTAACTATACTTGATTGAATTTCTTAATAGAAAACCATTTTTATTGCTTATAAATGTGTCGGGAGGGTGTATCTTAACTCAATTTCCATATTGTTATGTGCAACATCAGATGTTCTAAATAATTACATTTAAGCTAGATGAAAGGAAATAGAGAAATGAAAGTTGTCCTTGCTCAATGAAAATATTTTAAAACAACTTACCCACCCCCCACTATTCTAAGAAACCATCAGAAGTACACATCCGGATACTGCAAAAACTTTTTTCTTTTTGGAAATCATTTTGAAGATGACAAAGTTTCCTCTAACATATTTTGATAGCAACACACTGCTCCGTATGGTCTTTTAGTTTTATATCAGAAATATGAAATTACTGACTGGCAGAGTCGATGATTAAGATGGGACAAAGCCACAACTAGAAAAAGTTGAATATATGCCGAACATCTTTGGTTTATATAGAAACTAACCATTATACACAACTGCAACTAAAAAAATTGCCAGTAAATAGCATTTGAAATTAAAGAAGAGTGTAGAAAGATGACCGATGGTGTCAGCTTTGAGCTCCTGGATGCTGTTTCATAGAGTAAGCGAAGCAGATTTTCTTCTGCTTCACCATCAAGTATGATGAAATTCTCAGATCTGGTTTCACCTGAGATGTTTCCAAGAGCATGCAATGCAGCCTGTGATTACAGTTGAAAAAACCATGTAAGCTAGAAGAGATGTTAAAATCACATTGTTAGAATTAATTAAACCCATAGATATTCTAGATTGATTAATAGTATCCTTAGAGTATACAACTTCTTAATTAATGCTTATTCATTAAACATTCAATATATTTATTGTAACACAATTATGAATATAAGTAGTATGATCAAACTAAAGACACGCAGAAATTCCAGAATTTACAGATTTTATGTAGTATCAGTAGTGGCTCATAATAGGCTGCTCTACACACAGAATGTAAAGTCTTTGATACCCTCTTAGTCATCCGCTATAATCACAATGTCGTCAACTTAAACCACTAGATAAATATATTTGTTTGATGAGAAGCATTTGGTAAAAACAGAGTGGTCTAATTCACAACGGGTCATCCCAAATTGTTGCAACTCTTTGTAAATCTTTCAAACCATGCCCGGTGTGATTGTTTGAAACCATACAAGATTAACAACAGCTAAATATGGGGCAACTAGATCATCAAATTACAGTATTTTATGAAGACTCAAAATTTCATAAAGGACATCTAGTTCACTAACCAGTTGTCTACCATGCTTCTCTGGTCCTTGTCGATCAAAAGCAGCATAAATAACATGTCTAGCAGCAGGTGATGTGCCTGAGAGTAGTAATTTAGCTCCTCTGATAGCTAGGATCATAAAAACAATAAATTAAATTCTGTAGTACCAATAAAAGACTGGGATCTCGTAAAACAAGTAACAACGGAAATCATTTGAGTTTATGAGAGCGGTAATGTAACTTCTTCTTTAATAGTTAGCACCCAAGGTTTAGTGGTTTGACCAAATCACTTATAAGTTTTCAAAATCACTTTTAAAAAATATTTAGTGTATATTGGATCTGAAATAAGTCAGAATCTAGAAAAAAATTCAGGTTTCTATTACTTTGAGAAACCCCTGGGAACAAAGTTGCGATTATAACTTCATTTATAAGTAGTGCTATTTCACTTTGTAACCAAACCAATCATACATTTTGCTTTAAAAAATATATCAAAAAAACAAATCATATTTTATACAATCTTAGCATTCAGCACAATTTGGCCACACATTACAAAACTAAGCCCATTGAAATTAATTGCCGTTTCATATTGAGATTAGATCGTGGTTTGAACTGAAGGACTGTCCGTTGAAAAGTTTGAGAGCCTCAATTACAAGTAGAGAATGTTGGATAACTATCTCACTTGCATTCATTTATGAGCTTAAGCTTTTAAATAGGTTCATGATATGGCAAACAAAAGTTAACATAGCATTTAAGATCTCTCAAAATAAAGAAATTGGGAAAGAATAAGACTATCCAATGAAACTAAATCAAAAGTGATAAGTAGAAAGAATAATCTACATAAACAAAATACCTATGAATTAGATTGTTTGAATTTGTTAACAGAAAATTCAGAATTACCAATCCTTCAGACTCTCTCATGGATTTCAATCTAGTTTCAGAAAAATTGGATGACAAGAATTTATTGATCTAGAAACAAGAAGTTGGACTGGTGTTGAAGGGACATTGTCGACAACATGTTGAATGAACACTTCTTACTTCCCATTTTCTGCACAGGTTATCAGGATATTTGATGAGTGAAACAAACATATACTTGACGGGTGCATGTAGTAGAAAATCCACAATTATTTTCACCCACGGACAAAAGACAAGGATCACCCACTATACAAAAAGATTTACAAACACCTAGAAGAGAACTCAAAGCTATCTGAATATCCTCCGAGAATTAAAGCTTCGGTGAAATGTTTGTTCAGCATTGGAGATTCAAATACACATTAAGAGAATCTAGAAACTGACAGAAGCACAATAGTTGGTAAATAATGTGTAAGTGGAGTCGGCTACACAGATCAAATAACACCATAACACAGAGGAAAAGTAATAAGGGATAACAACTGACACCATAACACAGAGGAAAAGTAATAGGGATTACAGCCAACAGCGGGGAAAGAAGTTCAGATTAAAAATCAATTAAAAATGGAAAACTTATAAATACAAAAAAAAAAACAAAAAAAAAAGGAAGGACCAAGGTGGGAATAAAAGAAGAAAGAAAGAAAACATGGATTAGATCAATAAATGAAGAAAGTACCTTATTGTCACACACCTGCCAGTTCATGACCAAATTACTGATTACTGATATCCTAACAAAGCCAACATCTACCCATCTACCCCTCCTTTTAAAACAATTAGTGACAAACTCAAGGTGTCGATTACTTTTCAACCATCCTGAGTTTGAGGGGAGGTTAAAAGAAGATTGTCTGAAGCATCATCTAGACTAAAGATCCCATTCTAATCTTACTCAAACTGCCACTTCTAGAGTCTTCTGTTCTGCTAGTGCCGGTTCTGTTTAGCTAGACCTTAACTGATAGTTAACAATTTGTAGAAGCTGTCATTGTTTCTGTGCTTACCTATAATCTTTTGTAATCATTCTAATACCTATGTATCATATTTTTAAGTGAGTTAACTAAAAATACAGAACTCGGGATTACTCAGATTCCCTCCTTGAAATTTTCTCTTTTAAATTTTACCAGTGCCAAATGATAAATAAAAAATAATCAATTTTCCAATAGAGGCGCAAAGGATCTGTGTGGCACGGCTGGTAATCATAATGCAACATACTTACATAATCCTATTTGACCCAATGATTCAAGTGCAGTTTCAAATTCATCTCTATTCGAAGGGTCCAAGGACTGAAGCCTCTCATCAATGGATGAAATCACAGTTTTAGCACCTGAAATCAACATCACAACCTGAAATCAACATCACAACAATTTCAAGGTCTTTCATAATAATTATTGAATTGAGCAACATAGTATGGGAAGCCTGTTGACATTTTACAAAAAGAACTGGAACAACCCCTGCAACCAGACAGTGTTTACAGCAAGAACTTGAACAGGCTGCATAATATCATCGGTTTCTAATTCTTTCTAAATTTTGCAAACTATCTGTTTCTGTGTAATATTTCTATCTCTAGACCCAAATTGTGGATTAGTCTGATGATGATTGGGCAGGATCACCGTCTGATAGAAGGTCCACTTCAGGGTATTGTATTCTCATTGGAGGAATTTTGATCTCATGGCGGAGCAAGAAACGTAACATAATTGCAAGGTCCAGTGCAGTAGCAGAATATCGTGCTATGGCAGCAACAACATGTGAATTCACGTGGCTAAAACAATTACTCCAACAACTCAAATTAAGAGACATCAAGACAATGAAACTAAGTTGTGACAACCAAGCTGCTCTTCATATCACCTCCAATCCGGTGTTTCATGAAAGAACTAAGCACATAGAGATACACTGCCACTTTGTACGAGATAAGGTTCTTTCAGGAAAAATCATAACTGATTTTGTTGGTTCAAATGATCAATTGACTGACATATTTACTAAATCCCTTAGAGGACCTCGGGTTGAATCTATTTGTAACAAGCTTGGTGCATATAACATGTATGCTCCACTTTGAGGAGGAGTGTTAGAATTAATTATGATTGTAGATATTCTAGAGTGATTGATAGTATTCCTAGACTAAACAACTTTCTAAATTAGTGCTTATTCATTAACTAGCTAAGTGCTTATTCATTAAACTCAATATCTTTATCGTAACACTAATATATTTAAAAGTAGTGTGATCTATCTTAAGACACACAGAATTTACAGAATTCTATAAAGCGGAGACACCTTTTATCCAGTTGCCAAGATCGCAATTGTCCGACTTTTTCTTGCCTTAGCTGCTATTCATCAATGGCAACTCCATCAACTAGACATCAAAAATGCCTTTCTACATGGTGAATTACAGGAGGAGGTGTACATGGCGCAACCACTAGGATTCAATGTTAGTGGTGCTTCTCACCTCATTGTAGCTACTGCAACTGTTTTGGCCATGTTGAGGCACAATGCCGAACGAAAGCTAGTCGATTGCTGCCAAAAGTTGCCAATGTTGCTCTGATACCTCTGATACCTCACAGAATTTAAAGAATTCTATAAACCCCCACTTATAAGGACATGTTCATGTCATATATTGTCCGATGTGGGACTATTAACACACACCCTCACGCCTCAGCTGAACAACTGGAGCGTGGAAATAAATGGAGGGTGACCCGATAACGGAAACCTCATAGCAAGTGACCCACCGGATCATAAACGAGACTCTGATACCATGTTAAGAAATATGATTGGGCCTAACTCAACCCTACAAAACCGGCTTGTAGGGTGAGGATTGCCCCCACTTATAAGGACATATTCAGGCCATATATTGTCCGATGTGAGACTCTTTAACAGTGATTATAATAGAAATATAAATTAATTACAAGTAATGCTAATTAAAATAATTGATATGACAACTGAAAAATCATAATATGTTTGGACTCTAATTGATTTTAACACTCCCCTCAAACTAATGCTTTGCTCCTCCTTCAAGGACAATGTTCCCAGCCCCACACAAAAGAAAATACCTAGAAGTGGAACTCCTGTTAGCTGGTGTAAGCCACTGATTAGGAGTAGGAGCAGTCCATTGTGATGGAGCGGGCATAGGCATAGCTGGAGCACTTTGAGTCCACTGATTCCAGTTCTGATACTGAGCGTGTGACACCTGAGCTTGTGACCACATGTTAGGCATCATTGTTGTGTGTATGTGATAGCACACACTAGCATCATGGCCCATCTTATGACAAATCTGACACTGCACCTTGTATCGTCCACTAGAACGGCCACCTCTGCCCCTGTAGGCTCCACATCCACCACGAAAACCTCCACGTGAATCACCATAGCCAGTCACAGGACCATATGTAGCTTGAACTGAAGCATCTTGAGCAGTCTGTGTCGCATTTGCAGTCACAGGAGGTGTAGCCTGAGCTACGTTGATAGAAATAGGTTCAGCAACCACACTCTTCTTAGTCTTCTCTAGTTTCGTTTCATGAGAAAGAAGCATAGATTCAGCTTCAATGATAAGACAGAGATGAGGCCTGTACTGGATGATTGAAGCTAGGGCATTGTACTCCTCTGGTAAACCATCAAGAATGGCTTCAATTTGATCACGATGCGAAATCGGATCGTCAATTGACTCAAGCACGTCCACAATTCGTTGAATACGAGCAAGATACTCTGTAACCGTTTTCTCCCCTTTCGTAATCGATTTGAGCTCCGAACGAAGTTGGCGCGACTTCGCATTTGTGTGCGCGAACATGTATTTGTGAATCTCATCCCAAATCTGATGAGAATGCACACAACGAACAACGCGGGGAAGAACGGAGTCAGACAAGGTGGTGAGAAGCCACGTGAACAAGTGCAAGTCTTGTTGCTCCCAAGAGACATACGCTGGATTTTCTGCATCGTTCTCACGATCTGCTTCAGTGAGATAGCGTGGAGGAACGATAGGGCTCATCAGAAGACGATGAAGTTTGTGCGTTCTGATGATCCCTTCGACTTGTTGTTTCCACGAACGGAAGTTATTCTCATTAAGCTTCAGCGTAATTTGTTGCGCAAACGTCTTGAACGCATTCTTCACGTTGAGCGCCGCCGTCGCCGGCGTTGCACCGGTCGTGTTCTCAGACTCACCATCGGAAGCCATGGCCAAGGATCGAGCTTAAGCTCTGATACCATGTTAGAAACGTAGCAACAGTAGAAAGGAAGAAGAAAGAGAAAGAAAGGAAGAGAGAGAAAGTAGATTTGAAACTCTAACTGAATTGTATATTATAATAGAGGACAAGACTGAGTTATATACTCAGCACAATGATATTACAATTTTACCCTTTCTACTATTGAAGTATATATTCTAATAACTCCTACCACTCACTGAATAGGCATAATCAGCATCGATATATACCTCAGTTGTTAGACTTTCGCGTCTTTTAATCTGGAGTCCTCTCCTCGTAGTGACTTTGAATGATTTACCCTATTGGTGATTCTCAGATTTTTGATACTTATGATATTGATCAGAATGATTTACCCATTGTTTTGATAAAAGATAAAAGATCTTGTTCCTCTATGTATAGATATCTTATTTTTCAATATGACTCCTCTAAACATCTTTTCACTGCGTATCAGAGTTTATTGCAGCTATTGATTATGTGAGAATCCCATCATCTATTAAGAAGCATTGAAAAGGAAAAATTGTTGAGAGGCAAGGAGGCAAGAAGTCAGTTGGATGCAGATGGATCTATAATGTAAAGCGCAAATCAAATGACACCCTTGATTGTTGCAAGGCAAGACTAGTCATAAAAGGTTGTACTAAAAAATATGGCATTGATTACGAGGAAACATATGCACCATTGAAAAAGATGCATATTGTTCGAATCTCATTATCTCTTATTGCTTACTCTAGATGGGAATTACAAATGTTTAATGTTAAAAATGAGTTGTTGCAAGAAAACTTATAGGAGGAAGTGTATACGGAGATTCCACAAGGTTTTAGTTTCACGATTGGTGCCAACAAGGTGTATCAATTGAAGAATGTCTTATATGGATTAAAGTAGTCCCCTTAGACATGGTAGGAAAATTCACAAGAGGATGTTGTGTTTAGGCTATAATCAAAGCCTAGGAGATCACACTATTTATTAAGCATACACAATAAGGAAAACGACTTGTACTTCTTATTTATGTTTACGATATTATTATTACAGGAGATGATTTGAGTGAGAGACAATTACTCAAAGAAATTATCAGTAAAGTTTGAAACGAAGGACCTTGGAGAACTCAAGTGCTTCTTGAGAATTGAGGTAGTTCACTCGAGTAAAGGCATTTTTATCTCTCAAAACAATGTGTTAGATCTTTTGCAGGAAACAAGAAAGCTTGATGCAAATCTACAAGTGCTCTAATTGAACAAAATCATAAGATGAGCTTTGAGGAGGAAAATGTCAAAGTTGTCAGTATTAGAGATTAGTGGAAAGGTTGATATACTTGGCACAAACTAGGTCAGATTTGGCATACGCAATCAGTGTGGTGAGTCAATTCATACATGATCTGAGGGTGAGACACTTGCGACTGTGTTTAACAATATCTCAAAGTCACTCCAGAAGAGGACTCTTGTTTAAAAGAGATGAAAGTCTAACTATAGAGGCATATTATACAGATTCAGTGATTGATATAAGATCTACTTCAGGTTATTGTACTCTCTTGTGTGAAAACCTCGTTGTTTGGAAGAGTAAGAAATAAAGTGTAGTTGCTCGATCAGCGCTGAAACATAATTCTTGGCAATGGCACTAGGAATTTGTAAACTATTATGGATGAAAAAAGTGCTAAAAGATTTGAAGATACGGTGTGAAGACCCTATGAAGTTGTTTGATGACAATAAATTGGCCATCAAACAGTTCCAAAAAAATATTTACCAGCAGAATAGTTCAATCAACTTATTTGCAAGTTTGGAATGATTGATATTCATTAACCAACTTAAAGAGAGTGTTATAAATATTACAAGAAATAATAATATTTATAGATATCTTACTTTATTTGTATGAGGTTCATTAAGTAAGCCCGTTATATTTAAATTTTTTATTTAAGCAAATTAATTCTAGTATTATATTTGTTGATAATTATATATGTATATGTATATAAAGAGAATATTCTCTAAAATATTCCTTAATGTATTCTAGAATAGGATAGGATATCTATGTAATTGTGAAAAATAGAAATCAGAATTTTCGGAATGTGCTTGAGTGAGTAAAGCACTCAGCAACCATGATATTTACATACACTATATAATTAATTACATATTATGTTTACAAGGAGAAATAAATAATAGTCCAACTCCCTAAATGAAATAATCTAAATATACATGAACCTAAGACTTAAATGCTCATTTTAGTGGAAAATATACAATGTATTTTTTCTATTTCCAACAGTAATTAATATTAGGATTTGTATTTTCTCCTATATAATGTATTTTCCGTTGTGCTATTCAGACACACGGTTTATTCAAATGTCTCTTAGTCTCTCGAATTTCAACATGGTATTCAGAGCCTGACAACTCTTCACTGTGCTTTACCCAATTGACCCATTGTCTTCCGGTGAGAAAATTTTGGCAAACTATGTCATAACTCCGGTTTGCCTTCCATACACTGTCTTGACTCATTCCGACATCAATTCTCTAAATTTTCCGGTCACCACCGCACTGTCTCCGTTGTCCACCACCGTGCAACTGTTCCAGATCCGGTCTCAGATTTTATTTTCCACTCACGAAAAATTGTGATTCAGTCCAAAGATAGTCTTGCTCGCACGGTTCGTGCGATATTCTCTCTCTTTAGATTCTCATGGCTACTCCTCAAAACTTTACGCCAAACTACGATGATTTTCTCAGGTGGTATCAGTATTATCAGAACTCAAATTCTACTGTTTCGATTGTCCACACTGGTAATTCATCTGCTACTCCTCAAAACTTTACGCCAAACTACGATGATTTTCTCAGGTGGTATCAGTATTATCAGAACTCAAATTCTACTGTTTCGATTGTCCACACTGGTAATTCATCTGCTTGCCTCTCTCAATCATTTTCTCTTGGACCTTGCGTCCTTGATTCTGGTGCGTCTGATCATGTTACCAGTAATAAAAAAAAAATTATCTTCCCTCTCTACTTCTGGTTTCTTACCTACTATAACTTCTGCCAATGGTTCTCAAACTCAATCCGAAGGAATTGGTACGGTTCAAATTCTACCTTCTCTCTATGTTACTTTTGTTCTCTATGTACCTAATTGTCCATCTAATTTACTTTCAGTCAGTCGTTTAACTCGTTCTCTTGATTGTATTGTCACATTCACTAATAATAATGTCACCCTGCAGGATCGAAGTTCGGGACGGACAATTGGCGTCGGATGTGAGTCTCGAGGCCTTTATTACCGCTCAGTGTCGTCTCAAACATGCTCAGCCAAATATTCTCCACTCTATCCATGCTCAATTAGGTCATCTTAGTCTTTCAAAACTACAGAAGTTGGTGTCAAGTTTATCGAAGGTATCTAATTTACATTGTAATTCGTGTCAGTTAGAGAAACACACTCGTAGTCAATTTTCCAATCGAGTCAATAAACGATCTTCATTCCCTTTTGCTTTAGTTCACTCCAATGTTTGGGGTCCATCACGTATTGTCTCTACTCTTGAGTCTAGGTATTTTGTCACCTTTATTGATGATTTTTCACGTTGCACGTGGTTATTTTTAATGAAAAATAGATCAGAATTATTTTCTATTTTTGAAAAATTTTATAAAGAAAAAAAAACTCAGTTTGGTGTGTATTCGTACCTTAAGTGATAATGCTCATGAATACTTATCACAACAATTTCAAACTTTTATGTCCAGTAATGGTATTCTTCACCAAATATCTTGACCTCATACACCTCAACAAAACGGGGTAGCCGAACGCAAAAACAGACATCTCGTAGAAACCACTCGGACCATACTTCTCCATGGTAATGTTCCTCTTTGATTTTGGGGGAATGTTGTGCTCACGACATGTTACTTCATAAATTGCATGCCCTCATCTATCCTTAATAATAAAATCCCTCATTCAATCTTGTTTTCAAACTATCCTCTTCACCCAATTTCTCCTCGAGCCATCGGGTCTACGTGTTTTGTACACAATCTCTCCCCTGGTCTTGATAAACTATAAGCTCGATCACTAAAGTGTGTCTTTCTTGGTTATCATTGATCCCAAAAGGGTTATCATTGCTACTCACATACTCTACAACGATACCTCATATCGGCCGATGTTACCTTCTTCGAGTTTGTTCCATATTTCGAGTCCAGCCAAGTAACTTCGGAACCTCTTCCGGAAGTCCCATTTTTCATTATCCCACATCATTCTAGGGAACCTAGCCTACTAGAAAACCCTACGGTTAACCAACCCACTTCTCGCCTACTTCAAACATTTCAGTGTCGCCAACCCACATCTTCCGTACCAATCCCTGAGGCAGTACCTGCTCCTGAGGTCATTGCAAATTCTCCTCCGATGCCTTCGCCATCACCGGATCCGATCCTGCAACCTGAGTCTGATCTTCTGATTGCCCTTCGAAAAGGTATACGAACACGCAATCCTTGTCCACATTATATTGATTTATATTATCATCGTCTTTCCCTTTTGCAGTATACTAGTTTGTCTTCTTTGTCTTTTGTTTCTATTCCTAACACTTCAGGTGAAGCATTATCTCACTGAGTGGAGGCAAGCAATGATAGATGAAATATGTGCTCTTCAAAGCAGTGGTACCTGGAAACTGGTACATCTACTGGTACCTCAACCCTCTGGGAAATCTGTAGTAGGTTGTCGTTGACTTTATACAGAGAAGGTTGGACCAGATGGTAAGATCGATCGCTTTAAAGCTCGCTTGGTAGCCAAAGGATACACTCAGATTTTTGGATTGTATTAAAGTGATACCTTCTCGCCTGTAGCCAAGATGGCATCTGTTAGACTTCTTCTAGCCATTGCATTCATTCGACATTGGCCTCTTCATCAACTTGACATCAAAAATATTGTTTTACATGTTGATCTTGAAGAGGAAGTATATATGGAGCAACCACCTGAGTTTGTTGCTCGGGGAGAGTCCTCGAACATCATTTGTAGGCTACACATGTCTCTTTATGGTCTTAAGCAATCTCCGAGAGCTTGGTTTGGCAGATTCAGCATTGTAGTACAACAGTTAATATGGTCCGTAGTGAAGTTGACTATTATGTGTTTTATTGTCACTCTGCCCAAGGACGTATTTATCTTATTGTATATGTAAATGATATTGTCATAACTGGCAGTGATCAGCAGGGGATACTCGAGTTGAAACAGCATCTCTCGAATCAATTTCAGACAAAAGATCTTGGTAAACTCCGCTATTTTTTGGGAATTGAGGTGGCCCAATCTAGAGATGGTTTGGTGATTTCCCAACGGAAATATGCTATGGATATTTTGGAAGAAACAGGATTGTTGAATGTTAAACCAGCTGATACTCCTATGGATCCAAGTGTCAAACTGCTATCCAATCAGGAGGAGCCTCTGTCTGACCCAGGAAGGTATAGGAGATTGGTTGGAAAGTTGAATTATCTCACAGTCACTCGTCCGAACATTTCTTTTGCAGTTAGTGTGGTAAGCCGATTCTTAAATTCTCCTTGCCAGAAACGCATGGATGTTGTTATCCGGATTCTAAGATACATCAAGTGAGCTTCAGGAAAAGATCTTATGTATGAAGACAACGGACATACTCAGATAGTTGGATACTCCGATGTTGATTGGGCAGGGTCACCCATTGATAGACGATCCACCTCTGGGTATTGTGTACTTGTTGGAGGAAATCTTATATCTTGGAAAAGCAAGAAACAAAATTTAGTTACAAGATCAAGCGCTGAGGCAGAGTATAGGGCCATGGCTATAGCAACATGTGAACTTTTGGTTAAAACAGTTGCTCAAGAAACTTCTAATTGAAGAAGCAAGACCAATGACACTTATTTGTGATAATCAAGATGCATTGCGCATTGCACATTGCTTCAAATTCGGTATTCCATGAGAGGATCAAACATGTTGAGATAGATTGTCACTTTGACAGAGAGAAGATCGAATCAGACGACATTGCCACAAGCTTTGTCAACTCGAATGATCAATTGGCAGATGTGTTTACAAAATCTCTTCGAAGTCCCAGATGTGTTTGGTGCATTTGACTTATATGCTTAAGTTTGAGGGGTAGTGTCGATAATTATATATGTATATGTATATGTATATAAAGAGAATGTTCTCTAGAATATTCTGTAAAATATTCCTTAGTGTATTCTAGAGTAAGATAGGATATCTATGTAATTACTACTAAGATTTGTATTTTCTCCTATATAATGCATCTTCTGCTGTGCTATTCCGACACATAGTTTATTCAAATATCTCTTAGTCTTTCGTATTTCAACAATATTTATAATCACAACTTTTTAAAATATATAGATATTTTTTCTACATGATTGATATACTAAAAAGTGAGAAACTCCACAAAACAAATATTGCAGTCCAATTTATTTCTAATTACTAAACTGATCGCGGGACATATTTAAAGGCGAATGTAAATAACCAAACACTCAAATGATGAGGCAACTTTTACGTGAAAAGGACAACTACTAAAAAGACAAATATTCATTTTCCTTTAGTACTGATAAAGACAAGCAACTCTATGTATCACTCTACGGTCTCTCCCTCCTCCCCACCCACCCTAAAGATAGTTATATACCCTTCAATATTTAGGGTGAAATAAATAGTGCAGCACATGGGGCAAATTTCTTATTATATTGCTTGTGTTGTGTTGTAACTCAAGAATTTGACATGTGTTGTTCTCCATATATTGTATCTCAATATGCCTCACACGCACGCACAGAGTACATGAGTGTATCACCAAACAAATATTGGAAGATTAAAGAACCAATTCGATAAAAGTGTAAATCTTACATGGTTCATCAATGAAGGAGTGTGTAATTTCCTTGGATAGTAGCCTTCCACTTATCATCATTGCTCTTGATCTTAAAAATGAATCCTTGGAATCGTCGCTAACCTCATGAAAACATGTGATTAAATCATAAAAACAATTTTGACAACACCACTAAGGGGAAAATGTATTCTTGGCCATATAATGAGTACCTAATTATTGATGAAAGCAGTTGAAAGAGGCTAGACTTCGACAAAAATTCTGAACCATGCTCCACCTCTGCTAGCTGCCTCCATTTCACGAATGAGAATATGACCCAGAATATATATATATATATATATATATATATATATATATATATATATATATATATATTAATTAGAGAGAGAAAAGTAACCTCATAGAGAAGCTCGAAAACGCTTAAAGTTGCAAGGGTATCATCTGCACTTCTGATTTCTGCCTCCAACAAACTAAGTAGATTTAAACTGTGTATGGCAGATGCTGCTGACATAGATACAGAGAAAAGCTTCACCACTAAAGCCAAGACACGAACTCGGCCCTAAATCAGGATAGTAAAAGGTTAAATAGTAGTAACTAAGTCAATTTCAATCAAAGGGTAAAACAAACCAAAACAAAAAGCATGAAATCAGAAAATTAAAATCAAGTGTGAGAGTAAAATTAAACATTCAGTCTGTTTTATGGACTTTTGTAAGAAAATGAATTTAGTTATTACAATAAGAGGATAACGGTATATATATATATATATATATATATATATATATATATATATATATATATATATATATATATATATATATATATATATATATATATATATATATATATATATATATATATATATATATATATATATATATATATATATATATATATATATATATATATATATATATATATAAACAATTTGTTTTAGTTATATTCTTTTTTTTTTGTAATATATTTGGAAAGTATATGCTATATAATGATATATGTATATAATTTTATGTTATAGAATGTTATTTATATAATACAGATAAGATAATTTATCTGGTATCTATATAATTAATTTTTATGTATTTTTTCAATTTACCTCCTTAAGGGTGACACTCAAGTAATCCATTTTCTCTATTTCTTGATCTCTGCGTGAATCATATGTTTGCAACAAAAGGGACAGAATTTTCTCAAATTCCAATCAACTAGGCGTATTGTGTCGATTCTTTTGAGTAATATATCGAGAAATACCTCTAGATTCCTTATTAACACTCTTTTTATCACATGGCTGTTGAGACAAAACAGTGTAGCGTACTTGGAAGTTGAGAGAAGGAGTGGGTAGTGTATGTGTATCAACGAGATAAACGGCAGTAAGAAAGACATGATTTCAGAATGTTAAAAGGGAGAGAAGCGTGACTTAATAATGCTGGGCCGAACTCCAAAAATATGTCTATGTCTTTCTTAATGTTCCACTTCATCTTGATGATGAGTATAAAAGCATATGAATCTATGAATGATACCTAAATCTGTCAGATACTTGGTAAAAGGTCGAGATTCACTTCCCCAGTCAGTTCTTAGGAGTTTCAGTTAGTGGCCATATTGCAACTCAACCATAACCTTGAATTGTTAAAATATAAGGAATGTGTTAGACTTTGTATTCAATATGGATATATCTTAGAGTTTGACTTAACTCAATCTTTCAAAACTGGTTGGTAAAATGAGGAGTGTCACTCTATATAAACTCTTTCAATGCTCTATCTCCAATTAATGTGGGACTTTAGGATCTTCCTAACACACCCCCTCACGCCCAGCACTCTTTTTTTGGGGGGGTTTGGTGCGTGGATATTAACGGTGGACGCCCATGGTCCGATCGAGAGGCCCTGATACCATCTTAGAGTTTGACTTAACTCAATCTTTCAAAACCGGTTGGTAAGATGAGGAGTATTACTCTATATAAACTCTTTCAATGCTCTATCTCCAATTAATGTGGGACTTTAGGATCTTCCTAACAGTATAAGATGAAAGGACAAAACTGATTATATAAGTTATGGAAAAATTACGGCCAAGGCAGTTACTTTATGGGATATGGCTGCTAGTTAAGGGGTGTTACTGTTGTGGGCATTAATTAATTATGTAATTATTTATGTCTATTCAGTTTTAGGTGGTGTGTAATTATAAAAGGGAGACACTAAATAGAGGGGATCATTTGGGAATTAGTGAGTATTGGAAGAGACCCAACTCTTGAACATTTGGGAAGGGAGAGATCCAAGACTCTCGAATTCTTGAAAGGAACCAAACTGGTCTGTCATTCTGTTTGTCATTTTGTTTGTGTTATTTCTGTTTTGTACCAATAAATATCTGAAATTGTACCAATAAATATCTGAAATTGTCCCAATTTTATTTTGTAAAAGAACCAGTTTCTATCAGAATGCTTCATATTTGGATTTTAGATGAAAAATCGAAGTAAACCTAGAATAGGCATCAACAGAAATTTTAAAATCCAGTCTTAAATTTGGTCTCACAAAATGAGATGACAGATTCCATTGCATTCTTTCAAGTCTCAACTCATGAGCAAGGAATAATGCTTCAACTTCATCCATAACCAGTCATAAATTTGGTCTCAACAAATGAGATGACTGGATTCAATTGCAGTCGTGAAAACCAATATTTTTATATAGTGGATAGATTGGATAGATTATTAGATACATGAAGGATTAGTGGATCAAATTGTCACTCCTAATAAGATTATCAAAATAGATAAGATGATACTGAGACTGATCACCTGTCTTATTTTTCTCTTTCATTAACAAGAAAGTTGGGATCTTTAAAATTAGTACTATTCTTCTAACTTATATGTTTTAATTTCCACGCATATAAGTACCAATACACTGAGAGCAAAAGCACTTGAGCAATTCACAAAAATCTCTCTAGAACGCTATTCTCAAAATCAAATTATAAAAAAGATAAATCACAGCTTTATTAGAAAAGACGAGCTCAGCTAATTTTCCAAAGCTTTCCCATGCAATCAAGATAAAGTCCTCAACATAGTCCATATGTTAAAATATACGTTAGTAAATGCAAAATCGTACGTTAACATTTTAGTAGCCATACCAGTGATGAACATTGCGATGCTATAACCCCGAGGTCAGTATCACCTCCTTTGGTAGATGGGAAGATTATGCCCTGCAAATAATATTGAATGTCAAACAGCAATCATGAAAAATATGGTATTAATTGATCACCTATCTTCCAATCAAATAAAGGCATGCAAGCCAAGGTGAAATAACAATAAAATACCCTTACCATGCCTTCAGGAAAACTAGCCAACTTTTGTATTGCATTGATTGCCCCAGCTGCCACCTCTTCGTTTCTGCATATGTGAGAAGATATGAGAACCGAAGAATTCATTGTACAAGTGAACTGCCAAAAACATATCTTACAATACATACATGTGTTTGTTTGTATCTGTACAACTACATAGATACTGTTGGAACTAATATTAGTATTTGAAGTTATAGCAATTATTTCAATTTATTGTACCTAGATATCCATGTATCTAGGGATTATTGATGCACTTAGGAAGTAGTAATGCTATTAATCTCCCTGTAAATGTAAATGTAAATGTAAATTGTAATTATTGCTAAGTGTATAAATAGGAGATCAGCTCAGTGCAAATCATTCAAGCATTTAAAAAATTATATCTCAAATTTCCAAATTGGTATCAAAGCAGATGCATTTGGTCATGCTTTCCCTCGTTTGCCTTCATGCTATTGTCAGATTAAGTCTCAATCATGTGTCACAGCCCGGGCACCATCCATAAAATTGCCAACCTTCGTCTATACAATTCGCTATAATAGATTATCTAGGGAGTAGAGATATACTTTCTTTTTTGTTATCTGGAGACGAAGTGGCAAACATCACCTAAAGCTCACTCACACCTGTGAAGTCACAGGTGAAGATATCCAACCAAATAATATTGACATTGCCAACTAAACTAAGCCTTACAGACTAATACTTTCATACTTTATTTCTATACTTATTGCATTTTGCACAAGATCGTGAGCTATACTTATTGCATTTTGCTGTCGCTGAACACTTTTAAGTATAAGTCAACTTTCAATTCCAATTCTTCCAAAAGTTTCTACCTCAACAAAAGTTCACAAATTCCTTAAATCATTGCTCTGAACTCGGCTTCTGCACTACTCCAAACAACAACACATTGTTTCTTCTCCAAGTAACTAGATTTCTCAAGACATAAGTACAATATGCATAAGTAGGACGGTTCATGGTACAGTTCAAGGAGAAAACCGAACCAAATTAAACCATAGTAAAAGTTTATTCGAACTGAACCGAACCGTTTTAATTTACTCAGAACCGAACCGAATCAAAATTATTGGTTTGGTATATATTGTTTCAAAATTCCGAACCGTTAGAAGACAATTTTTCCCAAACTGAACCGTTTATTAAAGAACCGAACCGTTAAACTATTTATTAAAAAAATTAAAACTTATTTTTAGTATTTTTCATTTTCAATTTTGGTTCGGCTCGGTTTCAGTTTCGGTTCGATTCTAAAACTGTTTGTGTAAAATGGTTTGGTTCACTAAAACTGTTAGTGTAAAATGGTTTGGTTCAGTTCGGTTCAGTTTATGGTTTTTTTGAACAACCCTATCAATAAGTGGATTTCCTATTTGCAATTGATCCTGCCCAATCAGCATTTATAAATATAGAGACATTTATCTCGTTGATTTTCTTATATGTGGGAAAATATTTTACTCCCTGTATCCTATATTATAAGAGAAAGTCATTTTTTAGATTCATTGAATAATTAATATATCTGGTTTATATATAGACCAGATACATTAATTATTCATTGAATCTAAAAAGTGAAGTTCTCTTATAATATGGGACGGAGGGAGTATTTCTTTATTTTATTGTTTCCGTTTATTCCCTTTTATTTCTCTTTATTCTCTTTTGAGTAGAGAATTAATTATCATTATTGTATTAGCACTATATAAACCATCCTAGAGCCAAGGAATAAAAACACAACAGCTTTTTACCATTCCTTTCAATATGGTATCAAGACTGAGCACTAGGTAAGGGTTACTGTAAAGCTTTCCACAACTAGTGGAGTTCGGGGCATAGTCCCGGAAAAAATATTATGTTCGACCCGCTTTCTTACCCGACCTGCTTCACATATGCGTTTAACCCCCTATGGCGAATCACAACAACAAGTGGCCTTCCCCAGCACTGTCCTACACTGAATCCAACAATGGCGAACAACCACCACCTGAGTCGGGCGGCGAACGCGGAAATGGCGGCGGCTGAGGAGATGGCGGTGGCCGCAGAAACGGCGGTGGTCGCATAAATGGTATTGGAGACGAATCGTTGGTGGTCACGAACAATGGCCGTTATTTCAATATAGGCGGCAATGACCAACAGGGTTCCTCATACTCCCTCAAGGTCAATATTCTTAAGATGAATGGGAATAACTATAATGAATGGGCCCAAACCGTTCGCTTGGTATTGGATAGCAAAGGGAAGCTTGGTTTTTAACAGTAGCAGTAACTAGAACCGACAGGAAGAGACCCTCTTTACAAACAATGGAAATTTGGAAACTCTTTGATTATTGCGTGGTTGGTAAGCTCAATGGAAACTGGAATAGGTAAGCCTTGCATGTTTTTGCCATCTGCAAAGGATGTATTGGAAGCTGTTAAGAAAACATACTTTGATATTCAAATCTCCTCACAAATTTTTGGTTTAAAATCAAAGTTATGGCATGCGAAACAAGGGGACATGAATGTTACTGCTTATTACAATGAGTTGTTGACCTTGTGGCAAGAGTTGGATCTATGTTATGATAACAATTGAAGGTGTACAGAAGATAGTGTTATGTTTCTCAAAAGGCAAGAAAATGATTGTGTCTTCATGTTTCTCGTTGGGCTCAATAAAGACCTTGATGAGGTAAGAGGTAGAGTTTTAGGAAAAATACAATAGCCAACTCTTCGTGAAACTTTTGCAGAAATAAGAAGGGAGGAGGCACGACAAGGTATTATGATGGGCAAGACACCACGAAACTTTGAATCTGAAGGCTCAACTTTGGCTACTAGGAACCTTGACGAAGGAAAAAGGTTAGGCAAAGTTCTTTGGTGTGATCTCTGCAAGCGCGAATGGCATACGCGTGAGACCTTTTGGAAGCTCAAAGGAAAACCTCCTAACTAGAAGAAGAAAGATGGTCGTGCATTTCATACTAGTAATTCTGATCAAGGGCAGCAAATCTCTTCGCCTCAGCTTTCACTCACTACGGAACAACTAGACGGACTATACAAACTCCTCAAGTCTCCAACTCCTTCTTGCTCTATAGCAACAAAAGGGAATTCTGCATTTATTAGTGTCAGTCTCAATCATACTTTGATAGTAGATTCAGGTGTCTCTGATCACATGACATGGAAATCTACTTTGTTCTCTTCATATAGTCCATGTGCAGGTAATCAATAAATAAAAATCGCAGATGGCTCTTTCAGTCATTGCAGGTAAAGGGTCAGTTGTGTTGTCTCCAATGTTAACTCTTAAAAATGTCCTTCATGTTTCAAATTTATCATGTAATTTAATGTTCGTCAGTAAATTAACCGAAGATAGAAATTGTCAAACTAATTTTTTCCGATCTCACTGTGTCTTTCAGGATTTGAACTCGGGGAAGATGATTGGCAGTGCTAAGGAGAGTAGAAGACTCTACTACCTTGACATTTGCATCACAACTACCTTCAAAAACAATAAGTTCCTGCTTTGAGTATTTTTCTGTTTTGAATAACAAAGATGACAACATTATGGTATGGCATTTAAGAATAGGTCATACTAGTTTTTGTTACTTAAAACACTTGTTTACTAAGTTATTTCTTAATAAGAACTTTTCTTAGTTTAAATGTGAAGCATGTGAGTTTGCAAACATCATCGTTCCCAATTTTCATTACAGCCTTATAAACCATCAAAACCTTTTTTCTATTATTCACAGTGATGTTTAGGACCCTAACCGTACAAGTACACTCTCTCTCAAAAAATAGTTTATCACATTTATAGATGACCATACAAGAGTAATGTTGGGTATACTTGTTAAAGGGGAAATCAGATGTTTGTCAGGCTGTAAAGAATTTTTTTACAATGGTGCAGAACCAATTTCAAACAAATATCCAAGTCTTTAGAAGTGATAATGGCAAAGAACATTTTAACACTATCCTGGATGCGTTTTTTCTTAAAAAAAGGATTGTACATCAAAGTTTGTGTCCTAATACTCCTCAACAAAATGGAGTTGCCGAAAGGAAAAATAGACATTTATTGGAGATTGCTAGAGCTCTACTTTTCTCAAATAAAGTAGCAAACTATTTGTGGGGCGAAGCTGTTTTAACAATTGCATATTTAATTAACAAAATGCCCTCCAAAATTCTCAATTTTCAAACTCCAATTAATACTTTCAAAGAATGTTTTCCTAGTACTCATGTTTTAACTCATCTGAAATTAAAAATCTTGGTTGCAGAGCTTTTGTTCATGAACATAAAAATGTTGGAAAACTTGAATCATGTGCTATAAAATGTGTTTTTGTTGGATACTCCCCAACCCAAAAAGGATATAAATGTTTTGATCCAAAAAACAAGAAAATATTTGTCACTATGGACATTACATTCTTTGAAAATAAACCTTTTTTTTATGACACTCGTCTTCAAGAGGGGGATATAAAGGAAGACTTGTTTCAAATCGAGGACATGAGTTTTTTAAATAATAATTTATCTTTGTCTGTATCACAAAGTTCTGAGACTTATACTTCTGCACCAACAGAAAATAACCATGATTCTTTATTTGATCCTACTTTTGTTATGAGTAAGGAACTTTGTGAATCCGAGCCTACATTTTTTCATGTAAAAAACAATGAAAATCCTAAAAGAAGATGATAATGATGATCTAATTAAAATGCAATAAAATAATGAGTCACTTCAAGAAAACAAATTTGAATTAGGAAACACGATTTGGAAAGGGGAGGTTTTTGTGAAAAAGCACCACAAGGGAAGGGATGAGTCCACATCTCAACACTGTCAGGAATCTGAGCCGAGGAACGATCAACCTCCTAAGAATAGGAAAGGTAAGTCCATCTTTGTTTCTGAAAGTCGTAATTTGTATCTTGATATAGATGATTATGTTGCCATTAGAAAACTTGTTAGATCTTGTACTAAATATCCCATGTTCAATCTTATATCATATTCAAATTTGTCTTCATCTCTGTCTGCCTTCACCTCAAAATTGCCTAGTGTAAAAATTCCAAAAAATATACGGGTTGCTCTAGAAATTCCAAAGTGGAGGAAAGCTGCATTTGAGGAGATGAAAGCTCTATAAAAGAACAAAACATGGAGTGTTACGACACTACCGGATGGCAAGAAGACAGTTGGATGCAAATGAGTGTTTACTGTGAAGTATAATTCAGATGGGTCAATTGTAAGGTACAAGGCTCGCTTGGTGGCTAAGGACTTTACTCAGACCTATGGTATATATAGACTACTCAGAGACATTTGCTCCTGTTGCAAAACTGAACACTGTCTGAATTCTTTTATCTCTTGCTACTAATCTGGATTAGCCCCTACATTAGTTAGATGTTAAGAATGTCTTTCTTAATGGCGATCTAGAAGAAGAAGTATACATGGACATTCCTCCTGGCTTTGAAAACAAATTTGGATTAAATGTATGCAAACTAAATAATTCTTTGTACGGATTAAAGCAGTCCCCTAGAGCTTGGTTTGAAAATTTTACTCAGTCCATGAAGAAACAACGGTACATTCAAGGACAGGCTGATCACACTTTGTTCACAAAGTTCTTCCACGATGGGACATATGCTGCCCTGGTTGTTTATGTTAATGATATTGTCCTTACTAGATACAATACAGTTGAAATGACAAGAGTAAAAGAGAAATTAGCAGTAGACTTTGAAATCAATGACTTAGGATCCATGAGATATTTTCTTGGTATGGAGGTTGCCCGATCAAAGAATGGTATTGTGGTTTCACAGCAAAAATACATTCTAGACTTATTGAAAGAAACAGGAATCAATGGATGTTGTTCTGCAGATACCCCTATAGATCCTAATGTTAAACTTTGGGGGGAAGGTGATGTTCCTGTTGATACTGGAAGATATCAGAGATTGGTTGGAAAACTAATTTATTTGTCACACACCCAACCTAATATTGCTTTCTCAGTTAGTGTAGTAAGTCGGTTTATACATTCTGCTTACGAGGAACATCTTGAGGAAGTCTACAGGATACTGAGATATTTGAAGGAAAATCCTGGTAAAGGCTTACATTTTAAGAAAACAAGTGAAAGAAATGTGTCTATCTTCACCGATGTTGATTGGACAGCTTCAATCACAGATAGAAGATCAACCTCTGGATTGTACCTATGTTTGAGGTAATCTTGTGACATGAGGGAGCAAGAAACAAGAAATTGTAGCAAGAAGTAGTGCAGAAACCGAGTTTAGAGCTATGTCTCAAGGTATTTGTGAAGGATTATGGATCCTTAGAGTCCTAGAAGAACTTAAGATGAAAATTGAGCTTCCATTGAAATTATATTCTGACAGTAAAGCTGTCATTTGCATTGCTCATAACTCAGTTCAACATGACAGAACCAAGCATATTGACATTGATCGACACTTCATAAAAGAGAAGTTAGATGTTAGAATCATATGTCTCCCTTGTGTGACTTCAAGTCAGCAAACTACGGATATCTTGACCAATAGATTGGCAAGACTTACCTTTAACCATTTGATAGACATGTTGGGTGTGATAGATATCTATGCACCATCTTGAGGGGGGTGTTGGAAAATACTTTATTTCCTTATTTTATTGTTTTCGTTTATTCCCTTTTATTTCCCTTTATTCTCCATTAAAGAGAGAATTAATTATCATTATTGTATTACCACTATATAAACCAGTCTAAAGTTGAGGAATAAAAACACAACAGCTTTTTACCATTCCTTTCAATATTATCCAAGCCTTTTCAGAATTGGATTTTAGATACCATAAGATTTGCTTAACTACCTCCAAGTGTTCTTCATAGGAAGAATGCACGAATTGACTTAGAACACTCACAGAGAAAGCGATGCCAGATTCTAATGTGAGCTAATAAATAAGTTTGTCAACTAACCACTAGTATCTTCCAATATCAACAATATCAACAGGAATATTACCTTTCTACCAGAATTTTGTATTTAGTTTCAGAATGGTATATGTTGGAAATTGAATATTTGGTGAAATGCTTGAGTTACAAAACACTCAAGTGATTTGATTATATACACTCAAGAGAGTAATTACAAGATAAAATTGAAGCTATTTCCTAGGTACATGTATGTAATTTACAAGGCATAGATTCCTAAACTCCTAGATACATGAACATGCTCATAAATACAGAATTATAATTCCAATAATTTGTAATTCCAATAATTGGAATAATTTCAATAATTCCAACACTCCCCCTCAAGCTGGAGAATAGATATCAATCATTCCCAACTTGCAAGTCAATTGATTGAAACGATCAGGTGGCAAGCCCTTTGTCAACACATCTGCTGGGTGATGTCCAGAAGGAATATAGGATGTAGGTATTAAACCACTATCTAGTTTTTCCTTGAGGAAATGGCGGTCAATCTCTATATGTTTGGTCGTGTCATGCTAAACAGGATTATGAGCAATACTGATTGCCGACTTTTTGTCACAAAATAACTTCATAGACCCTTCACATTGTATTTTCAGATCATTTAGAATGATCCTCATCCAAGGTAACTCACAGATTCCTTGAGCCAAAGCTTTAAATTCTGCCTCAGCGCTTGATCGAGCCACTACATTTTGTTTCTTACTTCTCCATGTGACAAGGTTCCCACACAAGAGGGTGCAAAATCCTGAAGTGGATCTTCTATCACTTATTGATCATGCATAATCAGCATCGGTGTAGGCTTCTATACTTAAGTTTCCACCTCTTTTGAACAGTAGTCCTTTTCCCATAGTAGCCTTGAGGTATTGCAAGATGCGATCAACAGCTTGTAAGTGTCGCATTCTCGGGTCATGTATAAATTGGCTCACTACACTGACAGCATAAGCCAAGTCAGTCCTAGTGTGTGCCAGGTAAATCAACTTTCCTACCAACCTTTGATATTGGACTCTGTCGACTTTGGCATTTTCTTCTTCGAGGCTCAACTTATGGTTTTGCTCTATGGGAACACTAAAAGGTTTGCATCCCAGTTTCCTAGTTTCCTGCAAGAGATCGAGTATATACTTCCTTTGAGATATGAAAATGTCCTGGTTTGAGTAAGCAACCTCAATTCCCAAAAAATACTTGAGTTTCCCAAGGTCCTCATCTCGAATTTTGCCAATAGTTTTTCCTTTAGCAATTGCTTCTCTGCCAGGTCATCTCCTGTAATAACAATATCATCAACATAAACAAGAAGGATAGTAAGTTTTCTTTCATGCGAGTGCTTAAAGAAAAGCGTGTGATCTCCTTGGCTCTGCTTGTAGCCTAAGTACACCATTGCTTTTGTAAATCTTCCAAACCATGCTCTAGGAGATTGTTTTAGCCCATATAGGGCTTTCCTCAATCGACACACCTTGTTGGATCCACATGTTGGGCCAAATCCAAGCAGAATCTCCATGTACACCTCTTCTTCTAAGTTTCCATACAAGAATGCATTTTTGACATCAAATTGTTGTAATTCTCATCCGGAGTGAGCAACAAGCGATAATAAGATCCGAACTGTGTTCATTTTCGCAACAGGAGCAAATGTTTCCTCATAATCTATGCCATATGTCTGTGTGTATCCTTTTGTCACTAGTCTAGCTTTGTAACGATCAAGAGTACCATCTGATTTGTGTTTGACTGTATAAATTCACCTGCAACCAACAGGTTTCTTGCCTTCCTGTCTATCAATATTCTCCCAAGTTCCATTTTTTTCAAGAGCTTTCATTTCCTCATCCATCGCTTGGACCCAATTTCTATCTTTCAATGCCTCTTGAACGGATGATGGAATGACCATAGAGTCAACTGCAGAAATAAAACTCTGATGCTGCAAGGAAATATTTTTAGTGGAGACAAATTGAGATATAGGGTATTTGGCACATGACCTTTTCCCTTTCCTCAAACAATGGGCAAATCATCTGTATTAGTGTCACAAGTGTCAGAGCTATGGGAATCACTAATAGGACTCTGAGTTTCAACACTTACCTCCGGTTCTGAAAATTGAAGTAGTGTTTGGAGCAGGTCGGGCTTACTTCTTCTGTGATACACCATGGTTGGCTCACCAGCCTTAGTTTTTGTTCGTGTGGAAGATGATGGTTCGTGCAAAACAGACGACAAAGAAGGGACCAAAATAGAAGTAGGATCAATAATAGAAGGATCGGTAATAGGACTTGACATAGGATTAACAGTCGACTCGGGAGACTCAATTGTAGGACCGGTAATAGGACTTAAGAGAGGAGCCACGGGCAAATTAGGTAGGACCAAAAACTCGAAATCAGATTCAACATTTTGAATGCTCTCCCTTGAAGCTGAGGACGAGTGAAGTAGATCAAATTCTCATGAAACGTGACATATTTAAAGACAAAGTACTTACGACTAGGAGGATGATAGCATTTATATCCTCTCTTGTTTGGGGGATAGCCAATAAAGATGCATCTGACTACGCGGGGGTCCAACTTACTTCGGTGCTGTTTATGGATATGGACAAAGGCAACACAACCAAATACTCGAGACTCGAGACTTTTCAAAATAGGAACAGAAGAAAACCGTGAAGTCATAAATTGAACAGGACTGACATTACCTAACATGCGAGATGGAACCCGATTGATCAAGTAGGCAGCAATCAGTACAGCTTCTCCCCAATATGAGTCGGGAACTGCCATTTGGAAGAGGATGGCTCGAACAACTTCAAGTAAATGACGATTCTTTCTTTCTGCAACACTATTTTGTTGTGGGGTGTCGACACATGTAAATTCTTGAAGTATTCTCCGTTGACTGATAAAATTTGAAAGGGTGTGATTGGCATACTCTTTGCCATTGTCAGAGCGGATCCTTTTAATCCCCTTGTCAAATTGTGTTTGTACCATATTATAAAAACTAATAAACATTTCCGGTACTTCAGACTTATCCTTCATCAAGAAAATCCAAGTTGCTCGAGTACAATCATCAATAAATGAGACAAACCATTTAGCACCCGAAATATTAGAAATAAGTGCAGGTCCCAAACATCAGAATGTATGAGATCAAAAGGTTCAGCACTTCTATTGGAACTAGGAGTAAAAGAGACACGGTGATGTTTAGCTAACTCACAAACGTCACATTTAAAAGATTCTAATGAATGTTGTAAAAACAAAGAAGGAAACATAGACTTAACTAAAGAGAATGGCAGATGACCAAGACGCTTGTGTTGAAGCCAAATTTGTGCGGCAGAATGAGAAGAAGACACGGAAGACTCAGTCTGCAAGTAGGAAGCCAACACCTTCGAACAATTTGGTTCATCCGTTAGGTAGTACAACCCTCCCTTTTCCTCAGCAACTTCAATTGTCTTCCCCGTGTTAAGATCCTGAAAAACACAATAAGAAGTGAAAAATATTACTTTACAATTCTGATCACGGGTGAGTTTACGAACAGATATTAGGTTGTGAGAGAGTGTGGGAACATGTAGCACGCGTTGTAATTGAAATGAAGATTGCAAGTTAACACTCCTAGAGCCATCAATACGGGCATAAGAACCATTAGCAACCGTAACATAACGGTTCTTCTCAGAGGAGGTGTAGGAGGAAATCAAACTAGGATTGAATGTCATATGGTCAGTGGCACCAGAGTCCAAAATCCAAGCATTATTAGAGATTTTACCTCAAACACTAAAGGATTGAGAGCATACACTCAAGTCGGTCGTCGGTAGAGAACAACTTCCAGAAGGCATACTGAGAGAGTCAAGTATATAGCCTTTAAACGATTCACCTCATCCTTGATGAATGATAAATAGTAATCAATAGAAATTTTTTCAGCCATTTGTAGCAAACTAAAAAAAAACAGCAATAAGACGAGCCAAACAGCAGCAAAAAATGATCAAATAGAGGTGGTTTTGGACGGTTTTTGGACAGGAAAAAAAAACTGCAATGAAGGGTAACAATGCTGCAATGAAGGCAGCAAAAATTGCCACAATGATGGTGACTTTAGGTTTACCGTATGAAGACGGCTAGGGTTTATGCGGAAGCAAGTCTCTCAAGATCGAGAGCTCTTGATACCATGTTGGAAATTGAATATTTGGTGAAATGCTTGAGTTACAAAGCACTCAAGTGATTTGATTATATACATTCAAGAGAGTAATTACAAGATAAGATTGAAGCTATTTCCTAGGTACATGTATGTAATTTACAAGGCATAGATTCCTAGACTCCTAGATACATGAACATGCTCATAAATAAAGAATTATAATTCCAATAATTTATAATTCCAATAATTGGAATAATTCCAATAATTCCAATAGTATATGTTTGTCTATACCCACTAATCTCAATTTCCTCCAAGAGTTATAGGTTGTACTTTCATTAGGAAACTATAATCTACTTTTTTTGAGCAAGTAACCTCCATGCCAAAAAAGTATTTAAATGCATTTAACTCTTTAAATTCTTGTCTTTTAAGTGGCCGGGTGAATATTTTGAACCAAACTCTTGGAGATTGCTAGAGACCATTATAGAGACTTTTGCACACATTTGAACCAACCTTATCTTCAAAGCCCGGAGAGCTATCCATGTATACTTTTTCCTCCATATCACAACAAAGAAAAACAGTTTTTACATCAAGTTAGTTAAGAGGCCAATCTAAATTCACTGCCAACGACAAGAGAACTATGACATTTTAATTTGGCAAGAGGAGCAAATGTTTCTAAATATGTCATAGGTCTGAGTAAACCCTTTAGTAACCAAGTATGCCTTGTACCTTATAATTGTGTTGTTAGAGTAATATTTTACTGTAAAGACACTTTTACAGCCTACGGTATTCTTTCCTGCAGGTAAAGTCATGACTTTCTGAGTTTTATTCTTCTCAAGAGCTCTCATTTCCCTAAAAAGAGCTTCCTTCTAATTTGGAACTTTTAGAGCCTCTCGTACATTTTGTGGAATTTCTACAAGACACAACCGAGAGGCAATCGAGCAAATGAAGAAGACAAATTTGAGTATGACACATATTTAGACATAGGATGCTTGGTACATGATCTAACATTTTTTCTAATTGCTATCTAAATCAAGATTGAGACTCTTAGGAATAGAAGAAGATTACCATGACGCTTAGGTTAGGCATAGAAGAAGACTTGACCGTAATAGGATGACGATTAAGATCATCTCTAGGTTGAGATTCTTGGCAGGGATAGAGAATGGGTCTCTCATCTCCCCTTTTATGATCTTTTTTCCATAGACATTTCCTTTCCAAATATTTAATATGATCACTGATATTAAACATGTTTTGTGACACTTTATCGGATTCACTTTGTTGTGGCATTTCATGTTGTTCCTCATTATTGTCAAGATCAAGAACGTGTTCATTATGATTTTGATTTGAAAATGTCGCCCCATAATCTCTGGGAACCACGTTCACAGGCGGATTGAGTTACAATATGGATTCTTGGGCATTTTCTTTTGGTGCATTGTGCCAACGCTACATCACTTAAAGTAATAATATTTTCAAAAGAAGAATGGAGACGAATGTCATCAAAAAAAAAGGTTGACTCTCAACAAAAGTAAGATCCAAGGTTACAAAAGCTTTGCTTTTCAGTCAAAACACCCGTACCCCTTATAAGTTGAAAAGTAACCACCAAAAACACATTTAGTGGCTCGCAGCTCGAATTTTCCGAGATGTTTATGTTCATGAACAAAATCAGTGCAACGAAAAACTTTTAAAGGTAAATTGTCAGACACACGAGTCAAAGAAAAACTCTTTTCTAAAAACATCCAGAGGTGTTTTAAAATCTAAAACTTTGGACGGCATACAATTCATTAAATATGAGACACTCAAAACAACCTCACCCCAAATATATTTTGGAACTTCATTTGCAAAGAGTAAAGCTTTTGCAACCCAAGAAGGTGCATAGATTGGCTGACACTGAGCCTACGGTGTTGTTTTTGCTGGAAAATGTAGCTGCGGCGGCACCAGGCTCCAATGGATGACAATTATTTTGATTGAAAACTAAAACAATTGTTAATACATTTCCAAATTCTTGGGAACTCTGGAACTTAAACAGCGGCGGGATAGATCACGAAGGATCAAACTAGGTCTATATACACCATGTTAAAATGTGTTTTACATAAAAGAACGAGAAGAGAAATGATAAGGACTTTGGATATGACAATGGTGTAATATTATTGATAAGGATTTGATACTAAAGTATCCAACATTAATCCCTAAGATATGGAAACTAGTCAAAGAGATAATCAAAGATACTCTTATGTAAATAAATAAGAAAATCATCATAATAACCAAGTAAAATGGAAACTAGTGTAAGAGATAATCTAAGATACTCTAAGATTAGAAACTAATCCTAGGAGATAAACTAATATACTCTAATATAAAACAAAAGATATCATTCGATATTTTCTTACATTCTCATACTCTTGTTTCTGCTTTTATTTATTATTCCAGAACCCAATACCTCAAATTACCTTGACACTGGCCTGAGTTCCACCATTAATATGTTGAATTCTTGCAGTATAATTCACTTAAACCATCTGGTACTTATCATATTATTGAAACATCTTATGCATGTGTGCCCAATACACAATGTCAAGATCATCTACAAATGAATTTTTAATTAATTCAGCTTATCTAATTGGCACTAAATAACTTAAGCTGACCTAAGCCCTTCGCCATTTGCAGGTGATACAATAGATGGCACAATAAAAGATCGGGTGTTGCTGAAACAAAACACTAGGGCAAAGCAACTATGATATGAAACACATAATAATGTTTTCTATACTTACCCATTAATAAGGCAATCAAGCAAAAGTGGATATATGTTAAATTCTTTAACAAGATGAGCAGCAACTGTGTCAGAATTGTCAAGATTCTCCACAAGACAAGTGACCTGCAAAATTAGTTACAAATTTATTTACTGAAGTAGAAAGCCATAGATAGTTATCAAACCATCTCAATTCCATTTGAAGAGCATTTTTCCTAGACTAACCACTTTTTTACTATTAAGTTTCAAGGCAGAGCTAACACTCTCTAATAGAAAAGTTGAGAACAGAGATTTTGAAGATTTGGACTCAAGAAAGTATAAAATGCTTGTGTAATTAATTAGCACTCATCAGATTGGATATGTGGGGTGTACACTTCTGAGTTGATTACATGATACGCTATTTGGAAGAATAAATACAAATGTGTGTGTGTGTGTTTGCACAAAAGCGCACCACTTAATTGATTACATCGTTTGCTTTCAAGAAAAATAAATAGGAACTTCCTAAGTATAAACAGAAAATTTTCTCATCATAGTGTGGCTCATCAATTCAATGGAACTCAAATTTGGGAAGTAGTGTTTGTTTCTTTCTGCCACCAGCTAAGGACCTATGGGAAACGGTCTATAATTGCTATTCTAACTTGGAGAACATATCTCAGATTTTTTATCTCTAAACTCAATTTTGCAGTCCATACAAGGAACCCAAAATGTCATGACCTATAAGTTATAACACCATGGTAACCTTTTGGCTGGAAATGGACCAGTGTTACAACAGTAAGAAAATCCCAAGATGCAGCCAGATATAAGAAAATCCCAAGACGCGGCCAGATATAAGAAAATCCCAAGACGCAACCAGATATAAGAAAATCCCAATGAAGAATTAGATGAGGCTGTGAAAGAATACTACTAGGCAGATAACCACAAAAGTCAATGCGTGAAGTAAAAACGAAAAAAGTACTAGGGATTCAAATTTCGTTTTAGCTTCTTTCACACAGCTCACTGCAGAACCATCCTTTATAGGGCAAGTTTTCATTGAGGCAGGGTTCTTAAAAATTAATCCATTACATATATATCCCCATGTAAACGCACCCATATATAAAATAATCAAAAGAGCCTGTTGGCAAATGTCAAACCACATTTAAGTACAAAATTAAGGAAAAGTTCCTAATTAAAGAGAAAAGAAAATAGATTCCACTATTAAAAATAAAATGTTCTTTTTTGGCAGGTGGGGGGGGAGAGAAAGGATGTCCATTGTACCTACTATAGAGGATTTTAAATAATTTGGCATATGCATAATACATCGACTTACTGTTTTACAAGCTAAGGATCTGACTGCTTGAGAATCTGCCTGCAGACCAACTTGAACAAACGCCTGAACCAAATAAGCATAAGTATCACAATAAAATTATAATTTACTAGAAACCGTAGTAATCGTTATGTGTGTAGAGTGAAAATCGATGATAAAACACAGAAAACAACTTTATGATGCCCCTCTTAGAATAATAGTTAAATCGCACATATAGAATTTTCAAAGCATTTTGGTTGTAGGTTGGTCATAGGTCTTAAGTATGTGCACAGTTCAGAATGCCATGTCTAGAATATAAGCTTTATATATTCAGTACAGTAAGCAAAATATTGAATTAAAAAAATTAGAATGGAATAGCAAAAGGGGGTAAATGACAAACCATATACTGTGGAATGAAAGATGCGCCGAACTTTGTTTTGAATAACCTTTCAAGGCACAGAACTAGAGTAGTTTCAAGGGCAGGCACATCAAATTGAGTCTGCAATGCACTGCAAAATTAAAGGAGAAAATCAACATTAAACAAAACGGCAGGTTAACTTCATTCATGACAGAGAACATAATAAGAATTTAAAAAATAAAAAATAAAACCCTAAATCGTGCATAACAGGCTTTATAAATAATCCTAGGTTTTCAATTAGGTGGAAAATAATATAGTGAATAGAAGAATGAGTTTAAAGTAACGCATAGGTCAGAAAGCATTGAATTAAAAGATATGATAATAGAAAGAAAAAGAAAGTGACTTGATTATGAGTGGGAGAGGGAATCGATTGAGAAATTGTCTTGCAGAATCATCACTGTGAGAACCTGAAATCAAAGTGAGTAGAGTTGTTATGTTACTGTGAGAACCTGAAATCAAAGTGAGTAGAGTTGTTATGTTACAGTGAGAGGCATAGAGTAGTAGGATGCGGAAGTAGATACCAGGGTAGTGGGCGAAATCGGTAGCTGCTTCAAGGAGTTGGGATTGTTGCTCCATTGCTGCGTGTGAACGAAGTCTGATTCAGAAACAGAAGAGAAAAATATAAACAAGCCTGCGCCGTTCGTGACGTGGCAATATAGCGTATGTTTGTTTTCACTGATTTTGCTAGGAAAGATTGATAAAGTAAACAAACCTCATTTTTCAATACCAAACAATACAAAAATCATCTCACTTTCTCTTCTCTTTCACTCATTTAACTTTCTTTTCTTTTCTTTTCTTTCCTTTCATTTTCTTTTCAAATCCAAACAAAGCCGCAGTGCTCACTTTTTTTTTTTGTTAAAGTACCTCCAATAATAATATTCTTTGAAACAAATCTCTAATTTTAAATCCATTCAAATCACTAGAGAATTCATATAAAATTTTACAATTTTATCTTAAATATTATATTTTATATTTAATTTATTTGCATCTTAATATATTAATTTAAATATTTTAAATTATTGATAATATGAAATAAAATTAAAAAATTGATTAATATATTTTATATTATTAAATAAAAATTAAAGAGATAAAATTATGGAATTAAAATTATACTAGTACATTTAAGGGTGAAATGAAAAATAAAGAGATCAAATCATAGAATAAATTTTGAAATTAGAAATAAATTAATAAAATTGTAAGAGGAAAATTAAAATTTAAAAAAATGAAATTGTAAAAAATATAATGTCAATTTTGATAGAAACATTTGAAAATATTGCATATACGACCTCAATGTTTTTCTGAAGATTAATTACTATGTAAAAAGTTGGGCACGGTCAATTCATCACAATTATTCGTTTGCATTATTTTATAGGTGATTAAAATAAAAGTCAAATTTCTTCTAACATCAGACGTTTATGATTAATTAACTGTGTAAAATTCTTTTCATTGTCATTGCATTTCAATTAAATTATTTTTTAATATCATCATCTAAAATATAATATTATATGTGTCAGAATTTATGTTATTGGCTAAAGCAACGGCAATTCCATCACGACATACTTCAACCAATGAACAGAGAAAAAACTAGCATTTTGATTGCGATACTTTGGCATGTAGGGTAAGAAATTAGACAATTTCTCAATGCACCTCATGATTTTCTAGCACACCGTGCAAAAATACATGTATGCCCCCTGAAGCTACTCGAAAATAACTTCGGATGGAACAAACAGAGTTTTCACATAACTTTATTTATCTCAAAGAAAATGTATAGGGAAAGGAAAATATAGAGAAAACCTTAGATATTGGGAAAGGAAGATGGTATGGCAACCAAATCTTAGGTAAGGGAGTCGATTACGCAAGCGAAGGGTATTAGCACCCCTCGCGTCCGAGGTACTCCACAGAATCCACTCGTGTTATCTCAATGAATGGGTGTGTATATCTAAAACTTACTTGCTAAAGGGAAATGCATGCATAAATTCATTGGGAAAAATAAAAGGGTTTTTATTAGTGTGTTCGCCTGAGTATTGAAACATCATGCCTGCGTATCCACAAGGGAATCAGAACACTGTAGTTCTTCTTAAAAATATTTTGTTTGTTATGTATTTTTTATGGGTGATGTTAAAATCGTATTCTAATTGTTAACGTTGTCACTCGACCGTTAGAGACTATGCATCGTTGTTTTGTATAGAAGGGAGTTAACATATCCTTTTTGAAAATGTTTTAAAGTGAAAAATCTCTAAGGCAAAATGATTTGGATTTAATTTGTGTTTTTGTTATGAAGAAGGTAGCAAGTGGACCCTTATCCAAAGAGACACTCATCACCTTCATACCTTTAGTTTTGAAAGGGTTATGAATATTGTTAAGTGTTTTTGGATTTTGAATGAGAAAAGATTTTAGTCTTAATAATGTAATGCAAAAGGAAAAGAAAAGTCTAATGGGGGACTTGATCTTAATGTTGTCATGCAATGATTGATCTTATAGTTGAGATCATGGGAGAATCTAACCTAGTGTTGTCATGCTTGGATTGAAATCTTAATGTCTATCTTGGTTCAAGTTTCCTCAATGATTTAAAATGAACCAAGTAAGGTTAGGGGAACATGTTATTCACACAAGCAATGATCATACAAGTGGATGAGAATTAAAGAGTTTTATTTTGGCAAAGATTTGTGAGAAAAAATTGAAAGTTGAGAGCATGTTTTTGATATTTTATGGTTTATGCTTTAAAGGAGTTTATGAAGGAAATATGTTCAAAAAGTGAGACAAACTTGTGAAAACATGAATGAGTTGAATGTTTAAAAAAATGTATGCATCACAATCAAGAAGAACGTCATGGAGCATAGCTTTTGATTTTGAACATGTTTCATGATTTGTTTTAAATTTGAGTGGGAAAATCCAAAAAAAAACTCAAGTTATCATGAAATGCTTACTCATGATTCAAGATATCAAGTGGGAATCAAGATTTATCATGGTAAGATCAAGCTTTGTGAGCAAAATTGAGAAATTGATCAAAAGATCATCAAAATCCAATTTAAAAACCCTAAAAAGTAATCACTTTGATTTAATTGAAAAATGATGAAATAAAAATATTTTTTGTGATTTTTTTTTCTTCATAAAATAGAGGTGGTGAACCAGTAATGTACAAAAAATTAGCTCAAAATAGTTAAATTTGACTACAAAAAGAAATGAATAAAAATGATTAAAAAAAGTGAGTGAAAATTGAAATTTAAAAAGAGAAAAATAAGAAAAAGGGTGCCCACTGGGCTCGAACCCAGATCCCTATAGTAACAGGTGCGCGCTCTTAACCACTAGGATGGTAAAACATATGTTAGTTAAAACAACAAAAACTAAATTTATTATAAACTCAGTTTCCAATTTTGAAAATATGGTGCCATGGTTGTATCATCTTCAACCTCACGAACAACAACAACTTTCACCATTGTCAAACATGTAACTCCTTCGTTTCTCAACCAATTCAAAAATTGTAAAAACCAAACTTATCTAAAATTTCACAAGGAATTCAATGATAAAATTTTAAGAAGCTAATAATAAAAAATGAGCACGAATTTCATCCAGTACCAAAATAAAACCCTAACGGTTTAGATACATGATTCTCATCACACAGGCAAAATTAATGAAAACTAATTACATGGTTAGCTTTGTGGATATCATATCTACATTTTTGCTTCAGAATGTAAGCACAAATGATGCGTGTATAAGGAGTTTAAAGTTTGAAATTTTTACCAAGTTGAAGAAAGTCCAACGCCTCTTCTAGCAGTCCAGTGCAAATGAATGATATGGTTAGCTTTATGGGACCTTGGTGAGTGTATTACAATCCTTACTTTGCTTTGAAAGTTTCTGGAATGTTCTGGCCAAGTCAAGTTGAAAGTGTTTAAAAGTGAAAATGGAGGATGGTGATAATGGTGTTACAGAAGTGAAACATGGATTTGGATAACTTTTATATGATATATATGAAGTGTATGGATGGTTGGTGTTGTACCCCAAAATTTGCCCTCCCATTCCATCAATATTTTCTCACCACAAGACCCTTGGAGCTCAAGATCCAGTTAGGATTTGCTCTGCTCAAGACTCCTCCTTGCACTGTTGACCCAAATTAGGGTTTGAGTTTGCACAAAGATGTTTTGACCTAAAAGGCCCAAAGTGACTTTCATGCTTCATGTTGGACTCACAAGTTTATCCATACCAAGTTTCAAGCCTTGATTCCAATCTTTGCCCAGTCAATTGGACAGTTGACCTAGAAATCAGCTGTATTGGGGAAAAAGTCAATTATGGTCAATTGACAGTAAAACATCATGATTTTTGACCCTCATCAACATTATGAACTCATATGGACCATTTGATCAAGTTTGGATCACAATTCCACAAGAAATTTGATCAGATCATCAAAAGGGCAAAATGGTCATTTTTAGGGTTTTGACTGCACAAAGGCAATTTTTGACTGTTTGACCTAACCAATGGCAAACCAAGCTCACATATGGACTCAAGGACCCAATGGCATTGTCTTGAAATGTTCAACAAGTTCAAAAGATCCCAAATGCACAAGATTGACAGATGAATTTTCCAGTCAACTGAGCCAAATTTGACTGTATACTGAAAAGTCAAACTTTGACTTTTTGGTCAAAATCAAGTGTCAAGATTCATTTTTCATCAAGACATGTCAAAATATGAAACTTGTTCATCAAGAAATCAAAAATCGCAAATTAGGGTTTGAAATGAAGAAATTTCATAACTTAGAAATTTTCTAAGTTATGAAAATTCCTAATTTTTTCTTAACTTTGTCCCATCTTTTCATCAAGATGCATTTGGATTCAAACAAAACTCAAAACATGAAATTTGTAGTCCATTGCAAAATCTACAACTTTGATTCACAAAGTTTCCTCAAAAGAAGCTTGTAGCTCAAGTTATGATTTTTGGAACAAGGGTGCAAAACATTCTTAACTTAGAAAATTTTTGACCTATTCTAGGCAGGATTTTTGCCTAACTTCATGGCCACTTTTCACATGCTTCCACTTGGAATTTCAACTTGCATTACAAAGATGGATTGTAGTACACATTCCAAGCTTTCCAAATTGTCCAAGAACTTCTCAAACACCCTTGTGGTTAGGGAGAATCGAATTTGTGAAGATGGGCAAAAGTCACTTTGTTCATAAGCCATGTACATGTTCATAACTTGTGCATTTTTGAAATCAGCATGTGCAAGCTAGTTACAGGCCTCTAATCTCATTTACACTCAATAATTAAATGCCAATCCATTGTGTTCTAGCATTATTTTATGCATTTGGACATTACATGAAGAATCAAGCCATATTTGGAAAAAGTGACTTATCTATTCTTGTAAAGTATGGCTTTATGTCAAAACATGAATCAAAGAAGTACAATGTAAATCTCTAAGGCACAAGTTATTGAACTAATCCCACTGATCAAGACTAACTTTGCAGCATGTTTAGGGGGCCTGCATAAGCTTGTAAACCAACTTGACAACTTGTGCTTACATTAGAAGAAACTTGCATTTTTGAAACACAACTCACATTTCTGCCAACACAAGCCTAAGCAAACAT